GTTTCTCAGAAGTGTCGCAATTTAGCCTTGTCTCCATACATCTGAAGAAGTGGGCTTTTTAACCCATGAAAGCTTATGCTCAAATAAATCGGTTAGTCTTTAAAGGTGCCACCAGACTCCTCACAATTTAGCCTTATCGGTGAAAACACTTGATTGCAGCACAAAATCTACAAGTAATTGAAATTCAAATGCTTCTGCAAAAATTCAATAATATTTTAAGATAAAAACAATTAATCTGAAATATCACAATCCCTACATCTTTGGAAAGAATGTCCGCTGATGCTGTCCCTCTTTTGCTGACTCCTCAAATCTGTCCCATCACACTAGGATTCCACTGATCCTGCTGTGTTAATGGTTCTCCTTGCCCACAGGTGGCAGAGCAAGATTTGCCCTTGTCATAGGGTAGACAGATATCTTCTACCATATGGGCACACTATCAGAGTTAAATAGTATCATACACTTTTCTCTTTGAGAGCTGGCAATTTGGCATGAAGATTAATTTGAGTTTAATTCAAAAAAAATCTCTCAAACAGAACGTATTAGAAAAAACAAAAATTGTTTTTCAAAGAAATATCATGTTTCTATGAATGATCTGCTAACAAAGTGCATGTCTTGGTGCCTTTCAGGTTCCGTCTCCGTACAACCACAGACACGCTCTTTTTACAGGCAGGAAAAATTTCCTCCCCCAATAAGCATTTGCTTTACACAGACACAATACAAGAGAGAGGGAAAAGTGATACAACATAAAAAGCCAGGTGACTGAGCAGTTATGGTTAGATAATTCTGAGTGCTTTTATTAAATTACAGATTAGGCTATATTCATATTATAATTTGAGCTAAATTATGAGGTGAGACTTGAGAGCAAAAGTGAATGGTTAGCAGCAGATTAGCCAAAAGAGATAAAGCTTAAGAGGGGTGGTGGGAGGGAGGAAACACAAACACACACACACACACACACACATCACCAAGCCAGCTTCTTCCCTCCCTGTACAAACACTCGGTAGGCTAGCGCCCTGAACACTTAAGCCCTGCTCTAGGTGAAAGAAAATTATGCAGCTGTGATTTGGTCCATCCTCCTTGCCAAAGATTTTGCTGAATGAATGCCTCTAGGGCTGCTGGTCTCCGGGGAGCAATGTGCAGATTCAAATTAAATGCATTTTGCTCCTGTTAATGAAGAGTTGTGCTTGTCTCTCTCCCCACCCTTCAATTCTCTGAAAAATTATCCCTAGTTGGGTAGAAGTACACTGCACCCACTACAGCATTCAGCCCTATGCACAGGAAGACACTTAAAACTCACAGAGCTGCAATAAAATACATGGTCACTATCAAAGACTTTTGGACTTGACCAGTTCCAGTGGCCTATCAGGGTATGGCTACACTGCTGTCAAGAGGTGCGATTCCCAGCAGGAGTAGATCGATTCATGCTAGCTCACTGCACTGCAGAACTTGCAAAGACTCCAGCTAGTCATCCAAGTTCAAGCCTGCCCAACTCCTCGGATCTGAACTTGGATGACTACCACCCATGCTGCAGTGTCCACACTGCTATTTTTAGCATGCTACCTTGAGCTGAGCTAACACTAGTCTATCTGCACTGGGAATCGCACCTGACAGCTGCAGCGTAGACAAACCTTACAGAATTGACTTCTAATTTTACAAGAATATTTGTGAAAAAACTGCTGATACAGATGATTTCCCAGTGCAATGACATTTATCTGGAACATACATGCAGAAAATTTACACTGAATCCTTAACCTTTGTTTTACAGTGTGTAATTAAAATGCATCTGACTACACAGCTGGGTCTATTCTTATTGGCACTTGCTCTAAATTAGTATTTACATAGAGCAAAGGCATAAATCTTTGTTTATAACTAACAATAGTTCTATTTTCTACTTTTGTTTAGCCAACCTCTAGTTTACAGAGTATCAGTACTTTGGTACCACTGCTGACTTAAACCTGACTGCTCATTTTCTCCTTTCATGTCAAAGGAAAGAATACATTTCAGATGGAAAAAGTCTATTCTCTCCTCATCGTGTCTATATACCGTAATTCTCATTAACGTTAATGGACACCATGCAAGATGCTCAAGGGGACAACCCACCTCTCAGCCTTCTACTCAAATTCTCCATCTCCACCAATGCACAAAATAATACCTGCATACGAAGTCATGGCTTCACCAAGTTAGAACTGTATCTAAGGAGAAGATTGTATCCAGTTATAAAAAGTGCTTTGATATTTCTTGGGAAGCCAATCAGGGAGATAAATGAATGGAAACAACAGATGAGAAAAGATGCGAGGACTAATTTTATTCCTTAACCGATACCAACATAACTAAAACGTGAATGAGTGTAGTTTGTTTTATGATGCCTGAATCAACATTTGAATGAATTTGAGGTGACGGTGCTTTCTTAACTGAAACCAGATGCAGATAATATGAGAAAACAAGATCTAGGAGTGACTTCACTCCTTACCCAGGCTCCTCTGCATGACTGAGGGAGCTCCAATATCTCCTTGCTTTAACCTCACGCCAAACTTGATCCCCCTGCCATTACCACTATCCTCATAACCAAAGTCTGTTACTAGTGCTCCTTAATCAGAGAAGTCTGACAAACATGAGCCATTATTTCCTCCTTTAAAAAAATGATCCAGAAGCATCATGCTATATCAGCCCCTGCAATATACCATCATAAAATTAATGTGGTCTGTTGTTCTGCACAGTACTACTAACAGTAGTCCACTACACTCTCCACTTTACAACTCTAATGACTGATGTTAAGACTTATTCTACCATCCAATGTATTTTGCATATATATCTAGGTATAGCATCTACACAAACGTGTTTATATACATAATTTCAGTCTGCAACAGAAAGTCAGAATGGAGGATGGTCAGTGCAGGGAACAGATGCTAAGGGCCAGCATAACTCAGAACATTTCAACCTGCACTAAGACCACCAGTTGTCACACATTCACCATGCTGTATGGCAAGATTGGGTGTGTATATTGTGTAAGAGCAGAAGTCTCAAGTAGAGCTGGTCTGAAATTTCCTGACTTAAGTTTGTTGGGAAATGCAGATTTCTTGTGTTTCTATGAAACATCTCAGGTTCAACAAACTTTTGGCAAATCGAAGTCTGGAAATGCTAGTGTCCCCATCCCCTGGGCATTCAGCTGGGCAGCTGGAGAGACCTGTCTTCCAGGTCCATGGCTCCAAGGCAGCCTCACCATGCAGACTACCCCAAGATTGGGGAACCTGGTTTTCATGGGGTCTGCAGCTCCAAGGGAGCTGCACATGCCAGTGCTTCCAAGCTCTTTCCCATGAAGCAGGGAGCCTGAAGTCCTGGGACAAGCTGGCCCAGGAGTCTGGATGGTCTGGTGTCCCCAGCCATCTGGTGTCCTATGGCTGTTTACAGAGTGTGGCTGCCCTGGAGTCATAGTCCATGAGAGCCCTAGCAGCTGCTAAGTGAAATTCAGATGCTTGTCAGTTTCATCACATCTACTAGTATGACTAATAATGTCAATTTCACTCACAGCTGTCAGTGTTCCAGGGAGCAGATTTTGTTTTAGAAATATCATAGGTCGGTGTTTTCAAAATGAACTTTTTTTTCCCCCCAAAAAATTTCTGGCTCGTGGAAAATTTTCCATATAGTTTGTATTTGTTCAAATCTAAACAAACCCAAATTTCAAAATCACAAAATTTCCTGCAAAGTGGAAATCCCAGCAATAGGCTCAGCAGAATAAAAAGTTGAGTTCAGCAAACAAATTGCTTCTGCTTTGAGACTTTTACCCTGTATGAGGGGAATAGAATGTACAGTACTCAGGAACAGAGGAACTATCACCCAAAATTGTGTGAAACTCAGCATTTCTTTCTAAGAAATTTTGGTTAGAACGAAGACTGACAAGAGCAAACTACTTATTGTCTATTTTAAAGCAGAATAATGTTCTACTGCTTGGGTAAACAAACACATGTATGCAATAAGGAACAAAGACCAATTATTTGTTTACTTGCGTTGCTTTTTGTCCATCCACCTTCTCATGAAAAATTAAAATAAAAATGAATTCAATTGAATGGAAAACATGAAAGTAATTTAGATTCATTTAATCCCAAATTGTGCAGGGTTTGTTTGTTTTGTTTAATTATAGATTCATATGGCAGGACTTTCTGGATATGTTTGGTCACATTCAAACATTACATGCCAGGTATATCATTCAGCAATGAAAGGGTCAAAAGTTACCTTCTTTGACTCAAAAATGGTTAGATTTTAAAGGAATTTTGTTGCAGATGAAGTGACAATTTTGCTAAATTAGTGATTGTTGTACAGTAAGTTGAGTTAACAGGAAGCTTGTATACTGTTCCATTTTTATGCAGCCACCTTCTAAGGTAGTATAGAGTGCTCAGAATTGTATAAAGGAATATTAAACCAAATTACTTTAGATGAACAACTATCCACCTAAGTAAATCTATGTTATATGTTTGTCTTAGATAACACAGCTTGGCCCTCTCAGTGTTAAAAAGTTCAAGCAGTCTTTTAACCATGTTACCCACTTGTGTTACAGCTCTGGGCCAAATTCGTTCCTGGAATAATTTCATTGATTTCAGAGGATTTACAGCAGGGAAGAATATGGCTTCAGAGCTATAAAATGGCTAGGTTACTGTGTGGGTCCATCCATACAGGCAGACCAAACAATGTTATAATATGATCAGCATATAGCAGGTTTCCCTCTGAAATATGGTACTCCTCACATATGGATAATGCTATCAAGTTTGATTTTTACACATTACAATTCCCTCTCCCACCAGCAGGGAGGAGTTATTTTGGTTCTATAAGCGTTAAAACAAGTCTTTATTCATTCCTTCCTATTCAGACAAATAATAAAAAAATACTGCTATGTTCTAGCTCAAACGAAAGACAATATTTATTTCATTTGTACTTACACACAATTTTAAACAGAAACTCAAAGAAGTTATAGGTAAAAAGACACCATAGATTTAAAGTCTACTCACCTTTCCATCATACCGCTTCACTACAAACTGATCCAGACCTAGATCTGAAAGAGGAAAAAAGATTTTAAAAAATACTTTTAGAGCAGAGCTTGAATATAAAATCACATAGTTCCATGCTTCTCTTTTGATAAGGCATTTAAAAGAAAAAATAGATTATGTGAAGGATAACATGATTAGAAAGCACAGGGAGAGGGAAGGAAATCAACTGTTATCTACATGTTTTTTCTTAGGGCTCAAGAAAGGTGTCTGATTCACAGCATTGACAAGGAAAACCTGTTTAGCCACAGAAAACATACAAAAGGGACAGTGACACCACCACATCTACCACTATGCTCTACTAGTCCTTTTGTACTACTGACCTAGAAAAAAAAATGATTTCTACGCCATTACCAATCCTTAGCTAGATATCAACTTGTTTCCATGAGACTGGCACTTATAGTGTAATTAAAAAGAATTATTTTTAGGTTATGCAATCCTTTTTGAACAGATTAAAAGAAAAGGCCATTGAACTGAAATCAGAAGTGTTCCTCCCAGAATTAACAAAGGTAGACCTCAACCAAAAGTCAATTTTGCCAGCTTTTGTGTGGTAAAGTGACACGTGAATGGTCTTGGACATAAAAAGGAAAAACAAGGCCGCTACTGTACATTCAGGAATAAGCAAGTGCATTAACTAGAAGATTTTCATATTAATGTATTCCTCACATTGTGTTACCACAAAACAGAAGGATCTTATTCTTAGAAGGAAAATAATATTTACAGGGTTGAGAAAGAAGCCATCTTTCAATCTACTTCTACAGTGTAACCAAGTCTATGCATAACAATGAAAGTTTAATAGTCAACATGGAAAGACTTACAAATGATTTGTACAACAATAAAAAAATACATTCTGTAAAGAGATTTAGAGAAGTGGAACTCCTGAATGACTGGGTTATTGAGAATTGGCAGTAATTCACACAAGAGTGCATAGACTGATTTTCAACTGTTGGTTTGACAAACATATGCTAGAAACCACACATTTTCAGCCAGTGGTTTAAATAGCTATCAGATCTTCTTGTTAACCAGATTGGGAGAAGGAAAGGATTGGAAAAGAAAGAAAAATATAACTTGTCCAGGAAGGTGAACAATAGATTACTGTCACCTATTTATGAGTAAAAGTGAAAAAAATGCTTCCCATCTACTCAAAGATTCGTAATAGTCACAGAGCAGAAAATGGAGCTGTTCATCACTTCAGGATGATCTCTTTGACCTTTCTGAGACAATACAGTAAAAATTCCTGTAATTAATATCATAGGTTGAGTGAAAAATTAGAGAATTGTCAGATGGATTGCTGGATTTGTGGATATTAAACTGAGGAATCACTCTTGATATTTGTGTGCACTCCAAAAAACAAACGTACACACTTATATACAATGTGCACTTTCAGAAGTTATACTTCCTTAAAGAATATTGCTCCTAAGGTTAGAAGCATACATACAGCATGATTAATGCTTATGAATTTCTGCAAACCCCCTCCTTCAGTAAAAACGTTACTTAACTGGATATGATAACATCAGGCTCCCATTGCTCTTTTAGTTGTTGCCAAACTCAGAATTGAGCCAGCTGACTTCTGTGTTGGAGACCTATTCAGACACTGATGACTAAAACTGCCTAAGGAATTAACTGTATCCTGTAAGTTGCAACAATGGTAGCAGAAGTTGACCACTAGCTCCACTTTTAGTGTTGTTCGTTTTCAATTTTTGCCAATTTCCATTGATAAATGACTAGTTTTTTATTAAAGGAGTTCGATTTTTACCAATTTGCAACCATTTATCAATCCACTCAGTATTTTTTTTGAGCACTTATTTTTGTTAAACACAAATGCTTTACATGATTATGTCCTGCAACGCTGAGATTGAAGCAGTTCCACAGTGTAAAACTCAGAATGGAAAATATCAACATTAATATCACACTATGATTGGCTTGCAAGGAGACATTACCTGCCTATTGCTTTGCATCTGGTTAGTGTGGCACTGAATTTAAACAATCAATCCTCCACAGATAAAGATATGTAACGCCCCCGTCCATCCAGATACCTCCTTTAGTGCCAATCTCTTTACAGGGTTGGATGGATGGGCCTGAGTTCTTCTGGATTCCCACACAGCCAGTCCTGCTCTTTCTGTGGCTGGCTCCAGACTACTCCCAAAATGGCTTCTCCCTTCTCCAGGACTCCCTGGGGAGGCCATCTCACCACGTATTGGTCAGGCTAGCTCTTCTTCCTGGGCTTTCACCTGGTCAATCATTTCACTCTGCCCCTTCCACTGAGCTAGCACGCCTGCAATCCTTCCCCAAACTAACAGTGGCCCTTGTAGTTCTACATAGCGTCTCTCTTTTCTCCCTCTTGGTTGCCCAGCAGACTCTGAGTCTGCCCTTGGCTCCCCATTCCTACCAGGGACTACCAGCACACAAAGCCCCAGGGACTAGGTAAGTTCCTTGGGGATTACAGATAGATAAGGTAAAAAGGTAAACATGGGGCAAAAATGCAAATCTATGCCTGAATACCAGCAAGCAAATCAGTGCTCAGAAATTTTCAAGAAAAGTAAAGATGGGAATGAAGAGGATGCATTGCACTGCAAGTACTGCAGCACTGAGGTCAGTCCTTGTGCTGACAGAATAAAGGAGCATGTCAAAGCAAGTGACACAAGGAGTTTAAAGAAGAAAGTGAGCTTCGGGATAAACAGTATCAGGAGCTTTCACCAGGGCTTTAATGAAAGAGGACACAGCACGATTGTGTCAATGAATTTGTGCATGCTCTTTGTTTCGCCAGACAACCGCTGTTAATTGCGGAGGGGCCTATTGCTGACTTTGTTCAACAATACGGTCCAGCAGCAAAAACCCTTCCTAATGCAGACAACCTCACTGGTAAGTATCTGAAAGAAAATGACAATACTTCAGTATCCAAACTGATAAAACGAATTGATGGAAATCTGGTGTCTAGGCTGATTTTTGACAAGTCTCCTGATGCTTTGGACTGTCTGATTCTTGGCCTTTAGTTTTTGTTATTTTATTTCAAAGCAAATAAACCCGCGTTGTTTTGTGCTGATGTGACACTCATTCCCTCTGCTGACACTGTTTTGTCAACGCAGCAATAACTGACATGTTTGAGATGTACCAACTAACTTGGGAAAATGTGTCCACAGCTAACACAGATTCTGCTTACTACATGGCTAAGTTTGCATGGGAGATTAAACTCAATCAGAAACTGGAGCTTCTACGTATGAGCTGTCCTGCTCATCTGATAACATTGCCCTGTCAACAGCTACTGCTACAGAAAAAATGAAAGACATGAATCTTGCATCGTTGGATTTGGGACCATTTTCAAGCATGCAAACAAGTAGAAGGCTTTGTTTTACACAGTGTGAGATGAGCACAGAGCCGGATGCCGATTACCTACCCTTGTTGTGCCACACCAGTGGATGAGCTTGTAATTAGCTGCCTGTTGTGTAAATAACATGTGGACTGTGCTAATATGTCTCCTAGATCATCATGAGTTTTTTTGGTTTGTTTGTTGTTCTAAAAAAACAAAAGCAACGCAAAAACTCTGACGAGACTGTCAAATAACCAAAATGACCACCAGATTCTGTGCACCAAGGTAAAATACTGGAGTTTTCTTCGACTACTACCAACACATTTGTCAATACAGACATTTACTGGATCCTGACAACCAAAATCTCAGCTGAACTGAGCACAAAAGCTGCAAGAGAAACATACTGCAAGAAAACGCAGCTGTTTCTGGAAATCCTTCCAACCCCACAACACGAGAACCAAAAAAAGGATTCAAAATACTCAGTGAGAAATCGGAGAATATTGTGACACATAATCTGAACCCCCATGTGTTTGGTGCTGAAGATACTTTTTGGAATGTCATCCAGGTTTTGGACCTCTTCCTCAAAGTGAATTTTGCAACAGACTATGACAGTTATGCCAAGTGTTTCAACCATATGCCACTAAAGGTGACATTTCAAATCTGAAAGGAGAATTTACTACTGACATGAATTTATCTAACCCTGACAACGTGAAACTGGATGTGCTGGCTTTTTGGATCAGTCATCAAGACATACTTCCCAATTACAACGAGCTTTGAGTGTACCCCCTGGATCTACTGATGCAGAGCACTTATCTTCAAAGTTGGACTACCTCCAAGACAGCACGAGGCTCAACATGAGTGAGGATACTTCCATAATTTTCTTTGAAGTGTACACAAAAACCAGGATTTCTGGAAAAACTACTAGCTCTGAGAGAAAAAAAAAATATACCTTTGTACATTAAAAAAAGTTTCAGTTATACTGTAGTAAAACGTGAATATTAGAATAGTTTTTTTTGTTTTGTTTCTCCCCACTCCCAATTTTTCTTTTCTTTCTTTTTTTTTTTTTTTAAACCTGATTTTGTCCCAGTTTTAATAATTTGGAAAATAAACAATGAAAAATCCCCTGTTTTTTTCTTTTTCAACTACAGAAAATGCAGAACACTAACTATCATTTTGCCAGAACCACGTCATAACAAAATCATGTAGCTAGCTTATGGCAATCCATACACACACTGAGTGCTAAATCACATTAACTAATGTGTTATATAACAGTCATTTTTCTGATGTAGACAAGTTAGATATACTAGTAGAACAGTGATATTTCTTATGCCACTGCTAGTGCTACAGTACACCACACACAGACCAAGCTGACAGACTACACATATGAAAACAGCAGCTGAAAACGTGGTACAGCAAACAGAACCCCTGTCTATTGACCAGGAGGTCAATGAAACTCCAGTGCCACAAGTGTTAAGGTTATAGCTAACCTGCTCTGGTGCTCTTGAGCCCAGTATCACAGAAAAAAAGGTTAACTTACATGGAAGGTATTAGCCAAAGAGGAGACTCAAATTGAAGAGAGCACCACATAGGCAAGAACAGAGACAGAACAAAACTTACACTTTCTTTTTTGACACAGGGTCTCCTGTCTCAATGATAACGCAGCCCAGACTCATTGGCCATAGCAAGCTAATGAAGCGCTGCATAGGGCTGGTAACATCTTAACAACTCGACCCCTCCACTCCCAAACCATCCATTCTCACTAAATACAGTACAAGTTACAATTTTCTACTAAAGATGAATTTCAGTGGCTGGCAGCTTAGTTTCACCAATCAATCGCAGTCAGTACAGATTCTTCTATACAATGTGCACTGGCTCAGTTTTGCTTTTATCTAAGTAACGTCCATTTCCTTGGGTCTGTCAGAGCACACAAACATATTCTGAACTAATACTTATTGCCACATAAATGGTAAGAAACATGGAAATAATTTTACTTATCTGGGTGTTGCCCACTCCATACCTTCAGGGACAGATGAGATAAAGGAAAATGCCATCGTCGAAAAAGCAAACCCGATCTAGTGAAGCTGCCATAAGCACTGGCCCATTTATTAAATTTGTACAGCAACAGTAGAACTTTTGATCAACTACACCAAACTATGCCAATGCTTCCCAACTGATTTCTATTTGCAACAGTTCCTCAGTACTACTATCCCCTGGAGTATTCCAAGGCATCTTATGGAAGAGAACATGAAGCAAATTCAAGATGTGTTCCACCTAGGCACAGAGTTGCAGCTCCTGTCTTGTACAAGGCTCTTTATAATGGGGAAAAGAATGCTAAAATACATACTGATTACAGGGAGCTTACGCGATTTCTCAAAGATGCTTATCCGCATCGACTAACCGATGAAATTCAGAACCGTCTGGCAAATGTCTTTTTCCTGGAACGTGGTTTATGACTGTAGCATACCACAGAATGCTTTTTGGGATAAACTGCGAAAATTATCAACATTGTAATAGACTGCCTGAATTACATAGGAGTTCTCCCTTAGTATTGTCAAGAAATATTGCTAAACAACAAGACCACTTCCGAGCTTTGTTGGACAGGTTATAAATAGCATTACACTGAGGGGCACAATGTAGAACTAACTATCTGGGGCTAACATTTTCTCCAGTACCGGGATGTAACCAAACATCAGAAAACTGACCAAAGCCGATCAACCTACATAATGACACACAGCAACCAAGTCAGTTAATTTAAACTGCATCATAGATTCATACACTTTAAGGTCAGAATGGACCATCATGATAATCTAGTCTGGCCTCCTGTACACTGCAGGTCATGGAACCTCACCCACTCCTGAAATAGACCCCTAACCTCGGGCATCATATGATTGTCATTATATACCACAACTCAGTAAAATGGAAAGACTACTGTTTCTTGAAGAGGAAGTTACTCACCTTGTGCAGTAATAATGATTCTTTGAGATGTGCCCCCTATGGGTGCTCCACTATAGGTGTATGAGTACCCCTGCACATTTAAATGGGAGATTTTTGGTAGCAGTGTCCGTTGAGCCCACACATGTGCTCTCCTTCCCTTGTGGTCTGCCTTGAGGCTATCTAGCACTGTGCGGGCAGCCCCATCCCCCACCCTCACTTCCCTCTTCACTGCAGAGCCCCATAGATAACTCTGAAGTAGAGGGAAGGAGGGCAGGTTGTGGAGCACCCAGAGGGGGACACATCTCGAAGAACCATCGTTACTGCACAAGGTGAGCAACTTCCTCTTCTTCGAGTTGTCTCCCTGTGAGTGCACCACTGTAGGCTGGCACTTCAGAGTCAAGTCTGTGACTACAGAGCGTACTGTGGAGTCAAAGATGGGGTCGGGGGCTGAATCTTCAGTGATCACATAATGTTCTGCGAAAGTGTGGGCAGAGGCCCAAGTCGCTGCTCTACAGATTACTGAGCTAGGGATATCTTTAAGGAATGTGACTGAGGTAGAAACTGACCTTGTGTAGTGTGTATGGATTCTGGATGGAAGCAGATTGTGCCCTTGATAACAGTGATTAATGCAACCAGAGACCCATTTGGATAGTCTTTGAGCCGATATCACAGAGCTTTTGGATCTTTCTGTGGACAAAGAGTTCAAAGGATTTCCTAAAGTCCTTAGTCCTGTCCAAGTATAATGCTAGTGTCCTTCTAACATCTAGCACATGCAGAATTATCTCTCTGTTGTGTCAACGTGGTTTTGGGGGGGGGGATGGACTGTGAGATGGATCTGTTGATTCATTATGGAAAGAGCAGAGAAAGCGGCGAGAAACTTGGGATAAGGCCTTAGAGTTACTTTGTCTTTAAAAAGTCTGAATTCTGGGTGTGCCATCAGAGTCACTATTTCTCCTCTGTGCCTAGCTAAGGTCACAGCAATTAGAAATGCTGTCTTCATGGACAGGTGTAAACGAGAGCAAGTTGCCTTGGTCTCAAAGGGAGGTCTAGTCAAAGCCCTGAGAACTAGGTTAAGATCCCAGGCTGAAGCAGGTGATGTCACATGCAGGAAGAGATTCCCAACGCCCTTAAGGAATCCATGCATCAGTGGGTGAGCAAACACCAAGTGACTGTCTACCTGTCGGTGGAAAACTTATCACCGTGAGATGTACCTTAAAAGAGCTGAGTGAGAGTTTTGACTGCTTGAGGTCTAAAATGTCGTGTAAAATCGGGGGGGGGGGGGGAGGGAACGGGGGGCAGATGAGGTTGGGTCTATGTGTTTAGAATCACAACAAACTTGAACTCATTTCCAGTTTGTAGTTAAGTGTGTCGAGTGATCAACTTTTGGCTGTGTAGCAACATGTCTTTTAGCTCATCAGAGCATTCTGCCTCTAAGACTTAGAACTAAGAAGGAGCCAATCCTGAAAGCAGAAGATCCACAGGCTGGGGTGAAGGATCACCCATTGTTTTGAGAGAGCAGGTGAGGAATGGACCAAAGAGGAATAAGAGGGCTTACTGCCATCTGTGTCAGATAAGGGAGGCAGAGCTGTCATGGCCAGGAGGGGCAATCAAAATAACTCTCACTTTGTCTCATTGAATTTTCAACAGGACCTTGGACAGAAGAAGAAACTCGTAAAAGGCATACAAGAAGGCCCTGCCCATAGGAAGATAAGGGCATCTCCCTGTGAATGTCTACCCAGGCCAGCCCTGGAGCAGTAATGAGGATATTTCTTGTTCCAGTAAGTAGCAAAGAGATCCATAGTCAGGGTTCCCCAAAGAGTGAATATAACTCGAAGCACCTCTGAGTTCAGTACCCACTCATGGTAGTGACAAAAATTCCCAACACAGACTGTCAGCTGTCACGTTCTGTATCCCTGGTAGACAGCTGAGATGAGCCTATTGTGATAGATGCACCAGTTCCAAAGTTTGCTTCCTTGATGATTTATGTAAAATATACAGGTTATATTAAGTCCATCATGATCTTCGAGTGGGTGCTCTTGACGAAAGGCAGAAAGCATGCACTGGCGTTCCTGACAGCCCTTAGCTCCAAAAGAGTGACATGGAAGGTCACTTCTGTGGAAGGCCATTTGCCCTAAGCCTCGTGGTTGTATAGGTGAACTCCCCAGCCTATTAGGGAGGCATTTGTCCCAGGATGGTGAGTCTGTGTAGTGGGAGAAATGCTCTTGCTTGTACTGCGTCAAAGTTGGTGCTGATAAACTCCAGTCGCTGTACTGGGGTTAGTGAACCGCTATAATGAAGAGAACCGTGGAGAATACCCTGGGTATTTCACACGGATGAAAAATATTTCCGTCGGTAACAGAAATTTATATAGAGGCAATAAAGAAAAATGCTGCTTGAAAACTAGAGTTGCTTTAAGTATATTTACTTTGTATAATTTGTGCTTTAACAGTTATAAAGATTTAAATTTTGAATCCCAAACTTTACAGTCATTAAATTGTCTGATATAAGCCCCCAATTTCCTGCAACTGTGAAAATTTAAATAGTTAAAAATAGGAAAAAAATGCCTAAAAACAAATATTGGTATCTGTTGAAATTAAAAAAAAAAATTAAAATTAAATTAAATTCCGCCATGCCTAATTATCCTGCAGTACTCCACTGCAGTGAGAGTACTGGATACGAACCCAAGTGCTGATATGGAATTTAAACTTTGTAGTCTTCTGATGAAAAGCTGAACATATTACCTGCTGAACTAAATTATTACTTTTTTTACTCTATTACTACTTTGTATAATATTATGCATCCACAAGTACATGTGTTTAGAGGAAAATATTTATTTGTATTGCAGCAGCATGTACAGGGCCCATTGTGCTAAGCAATGTAAACATATACAAATACAAGGTGGTCCCCTGCCAACCTATTTGTACAATGAGAAGTAAAAGTTGATTACAAAGAGGCAGTAAAGAGTTTATTCTGAACTCTTCATTACATATATCACCCCTAAACATAATTACTGAATATTTTACTTACGTTCTGGTTGTTTTTCATTAGGAGTAATGGATCTCACAAAATCTTGTGGTGTCATAAACACCTCTGGTTCTCCATGCTCATGTATTACTTTCAAGGTGGCAAAGTATCTGAAGATTTTGTCTGGAGTGGAGTAGGCTCGTATCCTGTTCTCATACTCCATCACCTAGAAATTAAGTTAAACACATATCACTGCATACAAGAGTTTTCCAACTTTTACTCCATATTTAGTCCTGGTGAAACTTTGCCACATTATGACAGGTTCTAAATACAATGGCTGCACAATGCCAACAGGGGTTAGGCTACAATGACACTACACCAGCAGCGCTATACTGCCTGTAGTATAGATGTTTCCTACAACAATGTAATGGATTTTTCAGTCACTGTAATCAATCCATATCTCAGAGGCAACAGCTATGTTGACAGAATAATTCTTCCATTGATCTAGATGCATCTACACCAAGAATTAGGTCAGTTTAACTACGTCACAAAGGGATATGAATTTTTTACACACCTGAGTGACATAACTACACAGATCTAAATTTTAAGTGTAGACCAGGCCTTAGTGTTACCAACTCACAGGATTTTATCACAAATCTTGTATTTTATTTCAAGTCTCATGTTTTCCTAAAGCCCCAGCCCCTGGAGTCATGTGATCACTTGAGAATCTCAGCATTCATTTTTTAAAAACGAAGTTTCTAGGCCTCATGGTTGTGGAGAAAAATTTAACAACATGAACCTTCAGTATTAAAAAATCAGAACGCAAATAAAGAGCACAAAAATTACTGTTTTTTTAAAAAAATCTATTATTATGCCAACCTCAATTTTGGGGGCCTGAATCATGATTTTAGAACACTTGGGCTTGTGTCATGACCAGGACATTGGCAGACTGACTTAGTGGTCAAAGCAGGAGTCAGGAATCAGGCCAGGTCAGATACTGGGAGGTCAGAGTCCAAGACAGGGCAGAGGGTAAACTGAGAATTGAGTGTCAGGAGGGAGGCAGGCAGGGTCAGGTTACCAGGAAATCAGAGGCAGAACACAAACTTGAGAGCAGAACCACAGACCAATAACCAGAGTCAGGCAGGGTCAGGACATCAGGAATTCAATCCAGGGAAACAGGAAGCACTAGGCACACAATCCAGAGCAGGGGGGATCCCAGTTGGATGGACAACTTCCCGTTCTTGTGCTCGGTTTAAATAGGGGCTCTGGACCAATCAGGGTTCCCAGCATTCTGCCAATCAGCTCCCAGGACTGGGGCCCTCTGTCTGAGTTCAGCTCCTATTCTGAAAGTAGTTGGCAGGTCCCTGGGTGGTAGGTTGGAATCTCCTAGCACCAAAGAGCCCCGAGGACCAGGGTTGAAAAGCCATGGTCCCCGACATCTGGGCAATACAGAGTAAAAGCTCCGTTTATTCCCTACTTTAGTTCTGGTGTAGGAGAGGGAAAGCGATATGAAGAGAGGAAGGGGAAGTGGGGGAAGATGAGTAATCCTTCATTTACGGATTGGAGTTGGGCAAGATTACTGTTAGCCACTGTCCGACCCTCATATGCAAAAGCATAATTTTGCCTCACTTATTCCTCTAATCCTTTTGCACTACTTTTTTATAAGATTCTGCAGGGGCCCTATTCTCAAATCTCTGCCCAGAGCCAGGTTATCATTTGTGAATCTTGCAAGGAATTGTTATTCTAGGCATACACATTTTTCTCAACCATGCAGTCAGAGTTGATCTAAGATCACAAACTCATTAAGGCAATGGTAGTAGTATGCAAAAATATAGATTTGTATTTCATTATGTCTAACAACAGCAAGTCTTTGTTCAGTAGCTTTTATTTCTACATTACTACCAGCCACATGTTCACGTGCTTTTGCAAACTGTTACCTCCATCCTGGAATAAACACTGATGTCAAAGCATGGCCTGGAGTACACAGTGCTCAAAGCATGGCCTGGAGTACACAGACAGTGTCTCATGTCCTAGCGCTTAATGAAACAGACCATCAGAAAGCTTCCTTAGATCAATACTAGATTTCACAGGAATTCAATTCAGAACACATAGCTCCAGAGTAGTGGACTTGAAAGTTCAGCCTGTGTCAGCTTCCGGATTACTGTATTCTGATTAGGTTGCAGTTTAAGATAAAACATCAACAAAAAAGAAGAGGTGATGAGGAACTAAGCAAGTATTTCAGTGTATCAGTTTAACTGGACCCAAAGTCAGTAATATTTTGAAAAATAAAGCAAAAGCTGACCTAGCAGTTTCTTGAAAATCAAAAAGGATTTCTGAATCCATCTATTTTCTGTGTATGGATTCTAGCTGCAGATCAGCGTCCACTGAATTCAGAATCGGGATAGAACACAAGTATGCAATAATGGATCAATTCATAATCTTGCTGGAATCTTGTTTTGTTTTTGTGATTTACATCGGGATTAAGAAGTAATATACATAGGACTAGAAAAGGACAAAAATATTAAAAGCAAGGAGGAAATGTGTCTTAAAACAGTGAATTTAGTAAATGTCATTAAGAAACTGAAGGATATTGTTAGATGTCATTATTACAAATTGGAGACGTGTAAACTTTCTTTCAAATTCTAATTATTAGCAGTAACAAACATCAAGGGGAAAACAAATGTCTGAAAGTAACAACTGATGATAGGTTAACAAAACAGGGAATTTAAGCCAAACGTGGATTTAAAAAAAAAAATCCAACTAGTTCAATATCTAGTAGGCTGGTCTCAAATCCAATCTTCTAAAAAAAAAACACATTCAACACTGAAATTTTCTAATACACCAATGAACAAGATTGGTTTTCTTCTCAATTGTACACAGCCCTGTTTACCACTGCATCAGATCAGCTGAAGCTATTTCATCACCTGACAGAGGATGAATAGGACAGAGACAATAGGATACACAAATAGTAGTAGTAGTTATATTTTAAACACACACTGCATGTGTGTGGATTTTTCTCGGTCGTTTCAACAGGGAAAACATGAATACCTATTCAGAAGTATCCTTAAGATCCAGGACTAAAGTCAGTCCTAGTAGAGTTACTTATGGAGAGAAAATTATTATTATTTTTTGTTTTTGGAATACAGCAGGTTGCAAGGATTTTCACAGTATTTCCTGAGATGGTATCCTTCTGACAACAGGTTCTTCCTATTTCTGAAAGGTTTTCAATAACCTGTATAACGCAGGCTAGTCAAAAGATATTGTGCAGTCTAAAAAGCTAAACTCTAGCCAAAACCTGGACCCTCAGAGCAGTATCACCTGGCTCAACAGGGAGAGTTTGCATTCTGCCAATTAAATACAAATATTAATAGGTTAGTGAGACAGTTTGGAAAAAACAGCAGCAAGGGATCCCCCACGCCCAACAAAACAGAACCACTGTTCTGGAAGCTTAAAGTCAGCTCTCTATGACAGGTTGAAGGAAAAGAATCTCTTCCATTGCCATGAGAAGAAAACTAAATAAACCAAGGTCCACTGTAATTAACATTTCAGTGCACCTCCACAGTGTCATCAGGCCCCTCAGATCATGATCTGATAGAGCAGGAACTCTAGCAGTCTGGTTTCACACACAGCCTGCATAGCAATAGTGCAGATAAATTAACGTTCATTTACTTTAGGCTGCTTACTGCAATGCATATTGAAATGAAGTCTCAGCATAATTAACCCTCATAATGCAGAATACCTGCCAAGAGCTAATGACAGTTCCCAAACAGATCTTAGTGAAGCAGTCCTAATGCAGTACACACTCTTTTTCAAATTAATTAGCAAACAAGTTACACCATTCATATGGTTTTATTGGTCATTAACCTTCAGCTACAATAGCACGTGATCATTGTTTCCTTCTCTCTCGTTTATAAACAAATCTAAATATTACTCAAGTTACACATGTACACAAGAAGATATTTGCCCTAGAATCATCAGTTTATAACAGCCGCTCCAAGCTCTAATTGACGCTGAGCGATTACATCCCAACTTCCTCCTACATTTCTTCACCATCCAAAATAACTTGTGACATGCTTAATTTATTATTTCATTACTAATTATTGCATTCATTAACAGTGCTGGGATAACAGCCATGTTTCAAAACTCAAAGACTTCAACTGAAGTTTTTCCCCCCTATGCTAGGACATGACACATACAACCTTTTGGTTTATTATATGACGATATGAGAAGAATTTATATGAAGTGCCAGAAACTCCTGAACTGCTACAATTGACCAGTTTTCAGAGCACAGCATCCTCCTATAAGTTCATCTGACTACAGTATTGAATGTGAATGGATTAAGTCTTTACTCCAACATCAGAACAAACTCTGTGTCCAAACTCACCCACTACATGTGGCCAACTTTACAGTAATTAAAAAAACAATACAACATACATCAGTTAGGCAGGTCACCCCCTACTGTAACTGCTGACTACATACCAGAGAGGGGACCAAGCCCACAAATAAAGGGTTCACTTAAACAACAGAAACATGGGCTCCAGTGCTCGGTGAACTGCTGGAAGACTACCAGTTAGGCTTGCTGCCTCATGTAGGACTAGACTTCAGCATCAGACTCTGAGGAGACATTCTTAACCCTGTGCTGTGGAAGAACAGGATTTATTGTTAGTGAAGATGCTGGTAAACCTTTTGTCAAGATGTCCTGCAGTGGCTCTAGGTTGTGAGTACTAACCTCTGGGCAGACTGCTAAGAATCAGGGCACAAACTCCAAACGGGTTGTGAGACCTACATTTAGATTTCACCAACCAATTATCACGTGTAAACTCCTCAAGCACTATAACAGCCCAACCATGGAATCACAGACAGTTCCCTTAGATACTCTGATCTGTCCTGACACCCAGGTAAACCTATTTTTGTGACAGTTCATCCCTTACACCAAGGATCATAACAAGATTCAGGTTACTGCCAGTCCCGTCACTTATCACAGGTAAAATGCACTTTAGATCTCACACCAAAGATGCTTGTAGATAATTCTATAATAAACTATCTAAAGATTTATTATATAGGAAAAGGAATCAAGAGTTACTTGCAAGGTATGTGGGGGGAAAGCAATCAAACAGCAAGGTTAAAGCAGGTAAACATATATACACACAAATGAGTTCCAATCTAAAATTCCAAAAAATTATAGAAACTTCTATAATAAGCAAGCTCTATATGTCCTTTAGCAGTAACTCAGGCTAAGCACTGGGGATCATTTGCTTATGCCTAGTAATCCTTTCCTCCCAGTGTCCAAGCAGCATAAAGAATCAGTTCCTTCTTGTTAGTGTTTTTTATTCCCTTTCTTCCTTCTGCTCTGAGTTGCAGACTCAGCTGATGGGATGAATTCACTTGCATGACTCATCTTCACTGAAGGGACAAAGCAATGAAGACTTCTGCCTTCTTGAATGTTCCATACTTGTCTTTCTGGTGGTGATGAGCCTCCCATGATAGGCAGGACACATCACCTCTGGTTGGAGACCTGCATTTCACACTAGTTAATGTCTCTCTTGTCTGGTGATTTACACAGTTACAGAGGTTTACAAATCAAATGTTCTAATATTACCTTATAATATGGGATATAGATGATAAAAATGAGATTAATGCAGGCAGCAATTTATAAGCGTTCCAACTATGTATTTGTCAGTGTTCAATGGAGAAATGGGGACCTTGGCATGAGCTGGCACCTGGTCTGCTAGTATCACACCTTCATCACAACAAACCGTTCACACTGATTCTACATGAGAAATAACTCAGTTAGCCAACGGACCATGCTGAAACAATCACTAATTGTTGCTCCCATAAAGTCATGAGGCTGCAAACTATTCATTTGATTAACCACCGTAGGTTCAGTGATTATCACTGAGTCAAAAAGAGAGAAATCCAGTTCTAGTGTAGACCTGATAACTTGCAACTATCATCTATTATAATCTTATAAACTAATTTCCTCTACAATTCTCACTGCTGAAACATCTTACTTGTGAAACCTGACCATAGTCCCACCTTTCCTAATTTAGAAGGGAGAGAGGTTGGTAATTTTAGGCATGGCTCCTCATTACTTAAAATAAATATCCATACTAGCCAACAAATGTTTCCTGTCTTCAGCAGCTGGAAGCAACAGCTGAGGGAGCCAGCAAGCAACCCCGCCCCCTATCACCAGACATATCATAACTTTGCTCCTTGCTAGTAGTGAAAAATAAACCCATTTGTCTCAACTAGTATAGATGAGGGCTGAGATTTTCAAAACTGCCTAAGGGATTTAAACACCTAATTCCCATTAAAATTAATGGGTACTGGGTATCCACATCCCTTACACAGTTGTGAAAAATCTCAGCCTAGTACCTTAGAATGGAACTTCACTTAAAATCCTCACCAGCATACCAGCAGAAAGGACAGTCTGTAACCCCAGCAAACACCCTGAGATATATGGAATTTAACTGAGTTATGTAGCCTAACTACTGAGAGCAAAAATTAGTTCAGCATCTCCAAACAAAACCTTTACAACATATGAACAGTTATTAAACCACTACATACTAATCACTTACAATTTAGCAACTAATGAGATTCAGCCTCCAACATATGGACTTAAAAATAATTATCAGGAGAAAATTATAGAAAAGGAAATGTGAAGAAAATACACTCTTTTGTTCTTCTGTTTGGTACTGCAAAGACCCTAAATAAAACATAACCCAATGAAATAAGCATCCAGAGAGGTTAAAATACAGCCATCTGCTAAAACTGAGTTATTGGACTTTTCCTCAGACCAAACTGTAATCTTGTAATATTGATAGTAACAGCTATTGACAATTAATGTTGCAGATCATTCTAAAGGAGTCCAAAGCACTCAAGACTTCACAGTAATGAAGGTAGGTCAGAAGTATCACTTCACTACTAGAGTGCTTTTTTCCTACTTAAAAATGTGGGGGGAAAGCAATCAAACAGCAAATAAGCATAGGTGCCCACTTTTTATGATCGACATGGCCTAAATAAATGCAGAAAAGAGAGAAAAGTTGTGTTTCAGTAGCCACAGTGAGAGAGTGACCACATGGAATAAAAAGGAGCTGCCCCTTCTTGCCGGCTGTGGAGGGGTTGGGTAAGACACTTAAGACACAATTTTAATTATGTCATGCTTCTCAGATTTTAATCACTGCGATTTAATATCGAGCAAGGTAGAAGGCCACTAGCCTAAATTTTAAAAAGGAACTAGTGATTGAGTAACTCACTTTTTGGGTACTCAACTTGAGATACCTCAAAATGGCCACACTTCCCAAAAATCAAGCCCCCTTAAGGCATATCAAGTTGAGCATTCAGAAAAGGGGTGACTCAAAGTCACTATTCCCCTTTAAAATGAAGGCCAGTAAATGTAAATACCAAAAGTCAACCCATGAGTACTCACAGTATTTAAAATTTTAATTCTGTGGCCTGTATTTTCTCTCCCTGTTTCATTACTGTGCAACTGCAGCATTATAGAAGAACATTATGCGTGGCAAGCTTTTGTACCTTACGATCTCTAAATCCAGAACGTTGTTTCTTCTTCTTCTCTTCTGGCTGAACCCCTCCACCACTTGAGTCAACAGTCTTTCTATCATCGTCATTCTCCTCTTCTTCTTGGTCCTTCACTTTTTCGTTAGTTTCTGTCCTTGCATTGTGTTTTACAGATGACGGTGCTTCTGCATGTGCTCTGTGATAGGCAAGAAGACAACAATGATCAATTCAGGAACTTTAGAGAGTCCATAAGTAACAAGTTAACCAATTTTTAACACTGCATTCAACCAAACAGATTGGAATAACAGCAGATTTGACTGTAAACATCTAAGGTCGTAAAATGCTTGAGGCAGGGACTGTCACTGACTGTGTCTGGTAAAACAATTAGTACAATAGGGCCCTGATCCTGATTAGGGTCTGTGGGTACTACTGTTACAATATTAAATAAATAAATAAATAATAAGAGAAATAACTTCAATTAATGTAGTAGTGTGGTCCAACAGTCCAATGGTAGCACCCTGCCATGATACATTTCCACTTCTCCATCTCCAGACACAATTAACACCTGGTATTTGGCAGGTGGAAAGAGAAAGCACATCAAGTGATTTAACACTGACAGTCAATGGATGTCATCACTGAGTTCTAAAAGGGAATCCTGCACAGACTTCCTTGATTGGAACACTGGCTGCAATTCAGAGCTTTGAGGATTATAGAACAAAAAGCAAATGAAAGAGTTAGGATCTTTAAGAATTTACAACACATACTGATATTTCCCCCGCCCCTAGGGTGGAATTCACCCACCCTTGCAAAACAAACTAATATTAATTATTCATTTGTTTGTTCCCAAGAACCTAATTAAATATACGAATCACAGACTGAATTATGCAAGTCCACGTCTGCTTATCTTCGAGCCAACAAAAAACACTCCCCCCCGCCCCCAAGATGCAGCGAGTGCTATTTTCCAGAATATGAGAAAGAAAATATTCTGACTTTAAAAGTGTTTCTCTCATGCCTTTAAAACCTCTACCAAAAATAAAATAAAGTGATGAAGGAAGCAGAACGTCTGTTGTATCTTCAGTACTGCCAGGCTCAGAATAAGCAGCCTTTTGGTCTCAGCTCAGTTGATTTATTTTTGACTTCAAGCAGGTGACAGACTGTCGTATTTCGTTCATGGACGAATCTAGAGAATTTGAAGGGTGAAGGTATAATGACAATGAAGACCGAACTTGGTTATCCATACATTAGAAATACTGTGCACAAGCAGAACACTGGAGCTCTTTACTTGCTGTGCAAGAGCACCGCCCAGTAACCCTCTCTGCAGATGAAAATCATCCTACTTCCACAGTCAGTCTTACTGCCAACCCACTGTGAACAATGAGCAATGAAAGCTACTTGAGGCATCAAAGTACTAGGCTACACTTCGTACACAGAGCAACTCAAACTTCACAATAGAATGCAATAACAGAGCTTTAATACATTGCACTTTTAATCAAAAGCATCACATAAAAGCTCAGTTGCAAATGCCACAAATGAAAAGCATAACATCTCGTATACAAAGACTACCCTAAAAAACACAGGATCTTTGTATCTCCTAAACTTCAAGCAAAGAATTATTTATATTTGGCCTCCATTTTTACCAACAAAATGTAGAAGCGGTGTATCAAAAGTTCCTTATCTTTTAAAAATAAAAATACTAGCTTTACTGAAATTTCACAAGGGTAAACACAGTCACATTTGTGGATAGTCTCCATGCACTACATAAAGAAAAAGTAAAATAAAGAGGACAGATTACTTCAAAATTAAACACCACAAAAAAGTACAGCTCCATTCTTGCGGACTCCTCATAAGTCACTGACCGCTATTACATGTGATAGATTTGGAAGTAGTAAGTCTTCTACATTGCTTACAGATGAAGCAGCATTACATTAGGAATTCACATACATTTATATCTACCTACTGTGCTCTACAAACTACTGGTATGCAATCTAAGGCTGGTGGTGCACAAGGTGAGTTTTATCTAGTCAGCAAATTTCAATTGAAAAATATAGAAAACGATGGTCACTTGTGAGATACTTTAACAATTAGGAATTTGTTGTGGTATTTTATAGTACCACAAATGTGCTAGGTATGCAAAGAGACTATATTTCAGCGTTCATTATGGGTCTGCTAAGATTTCAATGTTTTCTGGAGAATTTAAGAATATATTTAATAGCCCTTCTGGTCTGAAAGATATTTTCATGAATGAGAACCAAACCAGTGCTGCAACAAACTAAAAGAACGACTATGAAAAGCCATGAACTTCTCAGATTAATCTCAGTGGCATGCTGACTTAAATCATCATTGGACTTTAAGGGGTAATATTTCATAGCTGACCGTTTTAATAAAAATCTTCAGCTAACATGCTTATTTTTAGATCTCTCAACACTTATTAAAACGTAAAATTCAAGTAATTACAAATTCTATCAAATATTTGTTTTTCCACTCTCAAGACACGTGTGTAGGAAGAAAGGAAAGAAGATCATTTGAGGGATTGGGAAGATTTTCACAGAAGGGGAGAAGATGATGTAGAAAGAGAAAGATCTCGGAGGTTGAGGGATGATGTAAGGAGGGAGGGAAGATTTTACACATTTTTTTTTTTAAACCACACACAGGATGGACTAAATTAATTTTATTTACAACTTCAAAATAAAAACTAACAAGTTAGGGACAGAATCTACCACCCTTATTCAGCAAATATTTCCCTGATGTCAGTGGGACTTTTTGTGAAAGAAGCTACAACGTAAGAATAAGGGCCTTCGCTAAGCAGTGAAAGAATTGGACCTTGGTAAGCACTGTGTTGTTTCTCTGTGCGTTTTGAATTGATTTGTTTTAAAATCCTGTGATTGCCCAAAAGTACCTATAAAATTAAGGGATAACGTTTCATAGACTTGGGCAATTATTTCCCCACGCATTTCCGGTGTCCATTTAACTTTGAAGAAATCAAAATTTACAAATAACTAGAGTATATCAAATACCAGGACTTGACCAGATTAATTTCAGATTTCTTAAATGGAATGTACACAACTCAAGAAGTAGATTGGAAAATTTTATCTTGTTACAAACTATTTTGTCCTTCATACAGCTGAAATGAATTTTATCAAACTTTCAGAAAAATGGTCACTCGTGGGCAGAGAGGAAGCTTGTCCAAGTGGTAATATTTTTCCTAAAAAATTGGGAGTTGAGCAAAGATGCTTATAATCTAAATACCTTCTCAACTTGTGTTAGCATAGAGTCATAATGCAGTTTCATAAAAAGGAGTTAGTGTTTTTCTGCATTGGTATTTTGAAATTAATTCATGAAGTTAATAAATTGATATCCATCCAGTACATTCCTATGATCTGATACTCATAACGGAGATACAAAAAGACATGTTTTCAAGTTCTGCAGATTCTGTACTAATGAAGAGGATTCTGCTGTAGAGAACAGCACTCACAAAAACTGCTGAAAGCCAATACAAAAAAATTAAAACAGGACATCACATTTCCTCCATTTTGTAAAAACTCAAACTAAGATTCACTTTTTCACATTACTTTCTCTGAAATAAAGAAATGCCTTAATCCACAGAGCTTTAAAATTGAATCAAATGAAGGTCTATGCAGACAATACAAAAAACTGAACCTGTGAACAGCTTCATTACATTCTCAGACCAACAATTCAGAATAGCTCTATATTTATTTATTTTAAAGGGACACTGAGATGCTATTTAAAATTGTTTTGTTCAAAACCCATTATGATGTAATATGATGCATAGATTTCAAGGCCAGAAGGGACCATTGTGATCATCTAGTCTGACCTCCTGTTTACCACAGGTATTAGAACTTCCCCAAAATAATTCCTAGAATATATCTTTTGGAAAAACATCCAGTCTTGATTTAAAAATTGTCAGTGATAGATAATCCACCATGACGCTTGCTAAATGGTTTCAATGGTTAATTACTCTCACTGTCAAGTGTATACCTTATTTCTAGTCTGAATTTGTCTAGCTTCAACTTCCAGGTGCTGTATCATGTGATCTCTCTCTCTCTGCTAGACTGAAGATATTATTAAGAATCTGTTTCCCCAGGTATATAGACTGTAATCAAGTCACCCCTTAATCTTCTTTCGAAGAGCTTGATCTATTTTGCTTAAGAGTCTGTCACTATAAGGCAGGTTTTCTAATCTTTTAATCATTCTCGGGGCTCCACTCCAAACCCTCCTCAATTTATCAACATTCTTCCTAAATTGTAGGCACCAGAACTGGACACAGTATTCCAGCAGCATTCGCACGAGTGCCAAATACACAGGTAAAATAACCTCTCTGCTCCTACTTGAGATTCCCCTGGTTATGCATCCCAGGATCACATTAGCTCTTTTGGCCACAGCATCACATCAGGAGCTCATGTTGAGCTGATTATTCACCATGACCCCCAAATCTTTTTCAGGATCACTGCTTCCCGGGATACAATGCCCTATCTTGTAAGCATTCTTTGTAATACAAGAATTACATGAATGTAATACATTCTTTGCTCCTAGATGTATAATTTACATAAAAATTCATGTTGTTTGTGCCCAGTTTATCAAGTGATTCAGAAACCTCTGAATCAGTGATCTGTCCTCTTCATTATTTACAACTCCCCCAATTTGTGCTATCCTCAAATTTTATCAGTGATGATTTTGTTTTCTTCCAGGTCATTGATAAAAAATGTTACATAGCATAGGGCCAAGAACCAATCCCTGTGAGATGCCACTAAAAACACAGCTCACTAACTCTTCCCCTTCTTTCCTTTTGTTATTCCTTTTCTCTCTGCCTCTTAGCCGCACTTTAAAAAAAAAGTGCATCTAACTGTGAAGACTTGGTAATACATTGGTACAGTTTATATACTGTGTGAGATTATGAACCCTATGTGTCTGTGTCAATTTGAAAACTCCATTTTGAATGCAGCCTTTTGCTTTCTCTATGCTCTGTTTGCTTTTATGCTGGGTTGAGATTCTAAAGGCTGGTGGCAAAAGAACAATAGTAGAGGGTAGGTGACTCAAGTACCCAATCAGTGGAAATCTATTCACTCTCCACAAAGGACTCTCCCTGTGCAGAGAAACTGGTTTAGCAGGGATAGGTCTCATTGACAACAAAGTCAAATGACAGTACTCACTAAAAAAGGAAGCTAGCAAGCATGTCAC